CTGCCAGCGTGTGGAGAGCCGTGCCCACGGTCTTGCCATCGCAGTGGTGGCACTCAGGCGTTGGCTCCTTGCGGATCAGACACAGGTGATCCCCGAAACATCCTTTCCCAGTGATCACCTGCGTCAGTCGGTATGAGAGGGTCCCGTGACGCCTCTCGAGCCAATCCTCCATAACGGGTCTTACCGCCGCGATGACGGCGTGCCCGGCGCTCGGTTGCCCGAGTCGTTCCTTCCACTCTCCTATGATGACCTGGCGGAGTTGGGATTTCCGGTCATCGATTTCTCGAGTCTCGGGACACCAACCCAACTCCCGCGCCTCCTTGCGCCACTTATACAGAGCCGCAAGGGCTCTCGCCTCCAGGTCCCACGGTGGAGTTCCGGCCAGGAGACTCGCCGCCTCAAAGGAGATCGTGCGGTACCCCCTTATGATCCTGATGGCCAGCACTCGCTGCGGTCGTCGCAGTATCGCGACGTTGCTGGCCTTCAGGGCCCCCGCCCAAACTGGGCACCCGTAAAGGGCCATGGACCGCACAACCCCCGAGTAGAGTCTCCTGCAGGAGTCATCGGGTCCCTTCATGTTGGGCAGCAGACGCGCCAACGCACGCGCTGCCCCAACCAACTTGAGGACCAGACCTCGGAAATGATATCCGAAGTCCCATCGGCCATCGAGTACGAGCCCCAGATACCTGATCGAGGGCTCGATTCCGATGCGAGTGCCTCCTACCGTGAGGCTAGATCCCTCAGGCGGCTTCCTCCGAAGCCCGTGGAAGAACAGGGCCTCGGACTTGTGCAGAGCCACCTCGAGACCCAGCCGCCGGATACGCTCAACGACTTGGGCAACCCCGGCCGTGGCCCTCAGGGTTGCCCCGTGGTGCGTCTTGCCGCGCGCCGTCACGAGTGTGTCGTCCGCGTAGCACACGACGGCGACACCATCCAAGAAGGCACCACGAAGCACCCAGTCGTAGCCGATGTTCCACAAGAGTGGCCCTAACACCGACCCCTGCGGAACACCGCACGACATTTCACGCCTACCGAGACCGGTCCTACTGGGGTAGACGACGGCTCACTCCGACAAATATGCCCCGACTATGCGGCGGAGGTAGAGAGGCACTTCGTGATACACGAGCGCCTCCCTGATGCAGCTCCAGGGCATAGTGTTGAACGCGTTGGCGATGTCCAAGGACACCGCCAACACCACTTCGCCCCGGGAGACTGCTTCCTCCGCCTGAGCCCTCACGCGCATGATCGCATCTACGGTGGAGCGCCCCTGACGGAAACCGTACTGGTACTGGTTGTCCGCCAGATCCGGCCCAACCATCACGAGATGCTTGACGAGGCGCCTTGCAATCACTCTTTCAAAGAGCTTGCACACCTCGTCAAGCAACACTAAAGGCCGGTAGGCGGACGGTGAGTCCGCCGGGATGTATGATATGCCTGTGCCGATCTACAACCGCCCGTTTCCAACATCATTCAACTCTCGAATTTGCCAGTGTCTATTGTGTATTTTTTTTTTAATTTATTTATTTAAGGTCTCTTTTTAACAACTAAGGTCATAAGCGACCACGGTACTTAAAAAAACTTAAATTTAATTTAATTAGACATTAATTCGCTTTAAAAACAGGGTTGTTTTAACATATTCGCCTTGGCTTAAACAGTCTCTTAAATTATCAGGCATATTACAAATCGTTCTTTCGTGTCTATAAGTTACACAATCTATCAAAATGTGTAAAACAGTTAAGTCCTGACCACATTTGCACTTATTGATATTATTTTTCGTTATGAGATGAATGTGAGTTAGATTAGTATGTCCAATGCGAAGTCTTGTTATTGTAACTTGGTCTTGGAAAACAGATTGTCAGATGCATGATGATATTCGAGCGTTGGATATTCGTGAAACAAATTGAATAGCCGCCGGTGGTATAATAAATGATAGTGCGGTGATGTAATCTTTAAGCGTTATGCCAATCGAGTTAAGTATGATAGCTTGATCCTTCTTGGGAAACATTGTTGTGGACGTTACGTTGGCGTAGCTTGAAGTACTATTATTCTTAACTTTGTCATTTTGTGTAGTTAACTGAGTCATTGGGGGTTTTCGATACGTTGGGGTAAGGTTCATATTGAAAAAAGGGACTCCTTGTACTAGCAGCATAGCGTACAGCATTTTGGTTAATCTTGGAATGTTATTTTATTCAACGCGTAAACTTGTAAACAACAGGCGAGATTTAATTTTTTAATTTTTTGGCTAAATACTGGTAGTACTGAGATAGGTTTAAAGTTAGTTGAGTCAGATGTACTACCAGATTTGAATAAGGGAATAATTTTACGTAAGACGTAATTTTACGACTTCATAAGATCAGGAAATACACCACTATTAACACATTGATTAAATGTAAATGGCAATTGATTAGCCACCACAGATATAATTTTCTTAGTAATTAATACAGAATTCCACCATAGGTCGGTTGTTTTATTAACATTTTTTTTTTAATAATTATCATAATCGGGTTATTAATGTCGCAGTTCTGAGGCAACAAACATAAAATAAAAAACAACCGGTTTGAGAATATTCTCCTTTTATGAAGTCGATCAAAAATACGTTTTCTTTTCACTTCTTTTTAGTAAGTCGGTGCTGAAAAATTCTGTTTCTGAAGGTATAATTTTAATTTTGCTGGTGATGACATTTTACAATTCATTTTATACAGCACAAATCTTAAATTTTATTAATATTTTGAATCGTTCTTAAACCAAAATTTGGTTACTTGTATTGATTTAAGTGTGTAATGAGTAGTCAAAATGCGAAATTTCTCTTTTCTTCTTATCACTTTCAACAAACATCAAAATCAACAAATAAGTTAATCACAAAATTTAACTGCCATTTTTTTGTAGACTTCTGCTAGTTTATTTTTACATTAAATAATTAACAACCCTTTTACACAGGTTACCTAGTCAGGAGATACAATCGCACCTAATATGATTGTAGCATATTAGTAATTTTACAATGTATAACCTATATGGGATTTACCTTTTTTTTTTTTTTTTTTCCGTGCGGAAATCCTCTCGGATACCACCTGTCGGTGGCATGTCGGACTCGAACCGACTAAAACCGCACGCCGTCTCGGGTACTAATAGCCGGGGAACCAGGTATACCCTAGAAAGGAAGTCCCTGGTGCTCCGACATACCTCGGGTCATCTACAGACGAGTAGACGACCCCCCCCCCCCCCGTGTGGGAACCCCATGTTCCCTGTGCTCCCTGGAAGCGAGCGCGCTTCGCAACGCGCTCGCCGAATATGGGATGTACCTGTACCTGTATGGGTAAATGGGATGTACTGCAATTAAAAACTTATTTTTAACATTTATGTAATTCAAATCTATTCTTGGATATTTTAGCTTAAGAAACATGAGATGGGCGTGCAAGAAAACTTCATTATCCTCCGAATATCCATTCATTCATTATAATCCTCTAAAGATAATGGTCGAATAGTCTAATAAAAGTTGCCGCCCGCTGATGCTTAAATTACTTATTAGTAATATTACTTATTAGTAAAAAGTTATTACTTGTATTAATGTAAGTTTTATTCGAACTATTTTAGGTAGGTACTCCATTATTCCAATTTCTTGATGACGCTTTAAATAATGGCTGGAGTGATTGCATGAGTGTTCCATTTTATTTTATTTAAAGTGAAGTTGTGTTTTTAAAATATCATTATGTTTGATTGTGTCGTAAGTTTGAGTGATGCTAAATTTTGGTTTATTTGTGAAAAAGCATTTTTTTTTCATTATGTGCAGAAAAAGGGACTGAAATATGTATATCATCTTAATTCAAAAATCAGAAACGTTTCCTTTATCAAATACTATTCTGTAACAGTGCGTTTACGATATAATATTTAGATGTATATGTAATGTAATATGTAATAGAAACCTAAAAATAAGTTCAAAGAACAAACTAAAGTTCACAGAGTACCTACGAGTATATTGTTTTAAGATATTCTGCATGTGTTAACTGACGAGACGTCGGACAAAATAAGTTTTTAGGATTGTCCTGTCTCTCTGTAATATTCGGTGTCCTTTCCTGGTAGATCATGGAGCAGTAGGGTTTGAGTGAAGTTTCGTCATCTAATTAACGCCAGTGGTAAACAGTCATCCTCATTTTATGTTATAGAAGACCCCATGAATTACGTGTCATCTAAATTCTGTATAGGATTTATATAGATTTGTGAGAGGCCTTAGATCTCCTTAATACGGTTCTTTACAGACATGTCCTACATTATAATCCTGTCTTCCTTATTTAAGATTACTACTAAGAATAATTTTCTAAATGTTTGTACTTCAGAAAGCTAAGGACATCCATACTTATATTTTAATGTGAGAGAAAGTTTGTTTGTTTGTTATGCTTTCACGCTTAAACTACTAAACCGATTTTAAAATTCTTTCACCAATGGAAATCTACATTATCAGCTAGTAACATAGGCTACTTTTGCCGTAGGCAAATGCTAGTCAAAAATATACAAAAGTCAACAGGTGTGAATAAAATAAATAGGTATAGGTGTAAAATCAAACTACAGAATCATGGAAAATATTATTTTATCACAGTCGAAGCTTATTCCCATCATCATTCTTATCTTTGTCCGTAGATTGTCAATGTTTTACTTACAAAACATTGTTACAAGTAACAACTTAATTTGATAGTCAAATCAGTGTAATCACTCTTAAAACTTAACAAATATTTTTAAATAATAAGAGTTTTAATGTCTTTTTAATAGGTACATCTAGAATATTTTGAATTTTGTTCAAAGGCAGGATGATATCTTGAAGGCAAACAAAAGTTGTTAATGTATTTAGAATTAAGCAAAGTATTATAAAAAGTTGTTGCTTCAGATTTTATCTTCTGGAATTTAACACGGCGCCACCGATATCCCCCTAATGGAGTAATCCGTGCATCCGTTTTCATTCAATTTGACACCTATAACAGATTCTTAACTTTAACACTTTTGCTAGTAATTTAATCGATAGCTAGTTGCCTAAAAGATCCTTCCATTCCGAATAATTCATAGTAGTTTTTGGGCTTTCCTGGCCGCAGGGATTCGTTGGCTTTGATTGACTCCTGTTTCTTGAACCAGCCTGTATAGCTTTTCAGTTTTTCTACCCATACTTCTGTAAAGTCAATAGCATTGTTGTTTGATATTATCAAATTTATTTCATTCATTTGTTATTTGTTTAAGTGCGATGTAACAGTATAGTAAAATTTAGTAGTTCTAGGAATTAAACACAAATCAGTTGAAGGATAAGTTTAGGAAACGTTAGGTTGAGGGGACCCGATGACTCCTGCAGGAGACTCTACTAGGAGGTTGTGCGGTCCATGACCCTTTATGGGGCCCCAGTATGGGCGGAGACCCTGAAGGCCAGCAATGTCGCACTACTGCAATGACTGCAGCGAGTGCTGACGATCAGGTCTTAAGGGGGTATCGCACGATCTCCTTTGAGGCGACGAGTCTCTTAGCCGGAACTCCACCGTGGGACCTAGAGGCGAGGGCCCTTGGGGCTCTGTATCAGTGGCGCAAGGAGGCGCGGGAGTTGGATCGGTGTCCTGAGTCTCGACAAATCGAGGATCAGAAATTCCAACTCCGCCAGGTCCTTGTGGAGGAGTTTAAGGAGCGACTTGGGCAACCAAGTTGGCTTGGGCGGCGGTAAGACCCGTTATGGAGGATTGGCTCGAGAGGTATCGCGGAACCCTCTCATACCGGTTGACGCAGGTGATCACCAGAAAAGGATGCTTCGGAGATCACCTGTGTCTGATCCGCAAGGAGCCAACGCCTGAGTGCCACCACTGCGATGGCCGGACCGTGGACACAGCTCTCCACACGCTGGCAGAATGCCCGGCGTGAGTGGAGCAGAGGCGTTGCCTCGTGGCGGCCATCGGAGTGAGAATTTTCACGCTCTGTATTCCACGCAGATTTCCACACAGAAAAAAAAGGATACGTTAGGTTCATTTTAGTAATTTTGGAAGTACTCATCGCGCTCTAAGAGTGGCTGTACGTAAATAAGACCAATTCATGTCTTTCATTTAGAACATTGTTTCCTAAAAAGAGGCAATTTCCGGCTGTGAATGGACAGTAGGTATAAATGCTTTTTTACAGGCTTTTGTTAAATTTCCCAATATCTTGACGCTTTCTATAAATAATAATAAAACATAAAACGTACTGTGAATGTCGTCAAGTGAGCCAGCTGTACCATCAAATTCTGTAGGTAGTAATTCTTTAGGAATGAACTTGTGGAGGCCAGTGAAGTCTTTATGGAAATATATCTGGAAATAAAATCGCAATATTTCTTGTGTAAGGTCTTATTTAACATTTTCGAGATTTCCGACAGGTGTCTGAGTCACTTCTGCTGTACTTTTACTTGACTTGACTTAAATATTACGTTTACCATTTATAGAGAAAAAACTTCAGCTGCTTTACAAAGCAGTAATTACGTACATCGTCTCTGGATTTTGGCTCTTTTCATGATGATAAATAGGATTAAAACAGCTTTTTGTTCTAAAATATGTTGGTCAAATTGTTATTAATTTCAGACACACCTGGCTTCAATCTGATATAAAATGGGTTAATAGGATTGGCAGGTGTATAGGAAGTTGAGAAGTTACAAAATAATTGTTTTCTTTCAGCTTCGTTTCGAAGACACTCCATCAAAATACCATTGTACATCTTTTACTTTGTTACATATTGGGTGACCACTGTTGACACATTGAGAGGCACGAAGGGTCACGTTAAGCCATTTACCATCGTGCTTGAGTTGGGAGTTGTCTCGTGCTGTTTTCAAGAGGATTGTTATATTTAGGGTTATGAAATCTAAATGACAAAATTGCTTGATTTTAGTGGTATTCAGAAGAGAATTGTTTTAGTGGTCTTGCGGATCTGAACTAAAAAAATATTTTTTTTGAGAACTACTTACCCGTTTCTTCATCTTCTCTTTCAAGAAAGGCTTGACAATGCCGTACGCAGTATCGATAAGGGCAGATGTGTTGATTACATGCAACTCTTTTAACTTTACTGGATACGCCTCCTGGAATTGTATGAAGCAACTATTTTTACATTTGGATTGTGACTAACTTTACTTACGATGTACACGTAACTGAATTTGAAAATCATCATGGTATAATCTATTCTGTTATGGTATCTCCCGTTAACTCCCGGGGGGTCTGAATCAGAGGAACGGGAGTTTGGTTTCCGGTAACCTTACTCAGAGAAGCAACGAATGAATCACTTAACACTGGTTTCTGTAAGGCCGTGATAAGTATAGCTCATTTGTGCCGGAGCTGATCTCTCCCACGGCAAAGCCAAGATATCCAGGGGTATTAAGTAAAATAATAATAATAATTCAGTTTATTGCAGTCTACAATACAAATATAAATTATCATAACTTGTAATGTTGTCAAATGGAATAAAAAAGCTGTTACTTAGTTACACAACCGATTACTTACTTGGGCACAAATAAAGAACTTCTTCACAGCAGAGAGTGAGAGCTTTCCTAGGTGGCTGGGCCTGACGATTGAAGCGTCTAGAATGTATACTTCACCGGTCACTCCTTCAAGTGGTTCCAGGAGTCTTAAGTCGCCAATCATCAGAGTTATCTTAAAAAGTTCGTTGAGCTGGTGGGTGTCTAAATTAAAATCCTTTGCTGCAATCAAATATTTAACGAATAACATCATATAAACCATTAGACTCTTAGATTTAATTTAGCAATTTATTTTTAAGAAATATTTAGAATGGATAAATAAAGCTTTTGTTTATCGATATATACTGACTGACTGGTCTGATCCCAAACAAGGTAGAGCTTAAGTATACAATGGTAATCGGCCTGCCTCTGCTACGATGGCAGATGGCCTCACCTGCCTCTCCCTGACCTCCAGCGCCTAAGTCATTTGCCGCCCAGGAGATCTAAACCTCTAGCTTTAGACTTTTGACAACTCTTAACTTAAACCGATCCGATGACTGATTGATCAGGTGATCTGGATAGTCACACAGATTCGGCTAGGGTTGTAAACAGGAAAAAAATAAACTGTCCAACTTATATAAGGGTAGTTACTATAAATAAGTGCATAATATTCTCACCTCTGCAAATAGACACTCTTCTCCCATCTGGTGTCAAACCAGGCATTGTAGGGCCATGCCTGAAATCATTAACAACATAAGATCAGCTAAGAAAAAATGTAAAAACATGTTCAGACATGACAGAACCTTTTATTATGTACTAACTTTTGCCCGCACCTCAGCCGTGTATTTTTAACCGACTTCCAAAACAGAAAAGAGGAGGTTCTCAATTCGTCTGTATTTTTTTTTTTATGTATGTTTGTTCCGCGATTTCTCCGTCAATTGTGGACAGTTTTTTAAAATTCTTTTTGTAATCGAAAGGTTATGCTCCCGAATTGGTCCCATTACCACCAATTCAGGATCTGATGATGGGATCCTAGAGAAATCGAGGGAAACCCTCACAATTCGTGGGAATTTGACAGCCCCGACAACGTGTTTTAGCTACGAGTATTTCTTTAGCCAAACAAACCATGGCAACCGTCAGAGACTGCGCGATATGATGCGCAGAGAACTTGCATTATTTATGTCACCACAGTAATTTTCGTTGTATTAAGAAGAAAAGGTTGAAATTTTGTATTCTATCTTGTTAAAATAATTCGGATAGACGTTTTGTTGCTATGGATGGCATCGCATTTCGTTTGTGAGTAATTTTATACTTAATTTATTAAAATAGTTCTGGAAAAAACTCTTAAATTTTGTGTGGGTCATCTTTCTAAGGAGAGGCCTAAGTCCAGCAGTAATTTAATATAATATTTAATATAATCTAACAAACTACAGTTTGGTACTATACATTACGGTACGTAATGTTTTAAATATCGTACTTATCTACTCATTACAAACATATCCTACACTAAAAATGGTAAAATAAACCCTTTTAAAAAAAAGTTGAACCGACTTCAAACAACATCGACAAAGAGCACTAAAAATTAAAAAATAATTACAAATCTAAGTAAAAAACTATAATAAGTACCCTCAATGTAACAGGTAACATTATAATACCAATAGTCCCTTCTAGTCTGTTTGAAGTCGGTGCCAAGCCAAATAGGTGCTTGATAGGCATGGTAGAATGTAGCAAGGCAGCTGCAGGCAGTTTTGTTCCTTGTGTAATAGGAAAATAAATATAAACAGCAAGTATTCTATCAACAGAAAAGGAATTTTGTATCAGAATTGTAAAAAACAGTCTATGATTCTTTTTATTAAAATAATAGTAAACTTCATTCTGACATTGTATTTCTTGTTTTGCAGACAACTCAGATACGCAACTTTTGATAAAACATTTTTTTAAGTTTATGGCATTTCTTTATCACTATATCACTTCGTTATCTTATTTCTGTGGCGCTTTCCACATACAGTGAAACAAAACATCTAACGGACACACACCGAACTACGAAGTACCTAATTGCTAATCTTGTTTGGCGATATGAAAAGTTCAACAACTTCATTACATCAACTGTTGGGCCGTGGTCCGCCAGACATGATCACCTCGATTGGTCAGAGAATCCTCCCTTTGTGTTGGCGGAACCTGAGACCCATTCCTCCATAGTCATGACCCCAACGTGATAAGCCTACCATACTGGTCCATTACGAGTATATAAAAGAATTTGTTTAAGGATGCACTCGATCAGTCGATGCCACCATCGCCCAACACTAGTGATTTTGTGTTGATAGATGCGGCCAACGTGTCCAAAGTCGGTGAGAAGGTGCCACCATTTTGGGCCGAAGTGCCAGAGATCTGGCACAAAATAAAGGGTCCATTTTTTAATATCGTAATTACTAGTAATCTCACTAACCAGAAAAAATATCAGGTTTATTAAATCTGTCACTTTTGGTATATCTAATAGAAATAAAAGTTTAGTAAGGTTACTTTAAACAGTTACTCATTGTACTTATTTATACTACCACACATTCCTCTACAATATTACATAATATATAGAAATATATAACTTCTTAACATCAACCTTTGGGGGCAGAAAAAATGTTTTGTTGGAGGGACATGACACCTATTGTTGCACATTTAACCTGCTTTGATTTGTTGCAGAAATACTATCATTAATAACAATTAACAGCTTCATAGGACATAGACCTCAGCCATAAGAAGGTTTTGTCCTTTTTTTTTGTTGACGGGGACTCAGGAGCCAGGAGTATCGGCGGCTGGTATCGTCGCCGACGTCCTCTACGCTCGGGATCGGCCCTCTCCCGATCCCTTTCAGCGGTATCTTTCTAGAGCATTAGGTTTTGGCCTACTATTGGGTTTGTGTCAAGTTTTCTTTCTCGGCTCTTACGTCACCCACGGTATTATCACGGATAACAAACGTATAATTACCCCTTATTCATAAGTTCCATTAACTCCGGCCTTGTGATGTCCCTATTTGTGAAGAACTCGGGGCAGGCGGCTCTTACGGTGAAGTACATGTCCAACTTCCTCTTGCACCTTTCGATCGAGAAATCACATCCTCGAAGAAAAGATATCAAACAGGTATCCTCTAGAAATATACACGGAACATTATTTTATAAGGATCTCGTGTGATGTTTGGCTGAGTTTAGATATTCAATTTTAGTCAAGCGTTAAGCACCGCTTTTATCGGTCCTTGTTGATAAATATGAAAATAATTATATAGTAACATTCCCGGGAAATATTTATATACAGGTACATACTTCATTTTTAAAGATTCAAAAATTTGAAGAAAACTCAGTTTGAAAGTGCTGCTTAGTGTATATGCAGTGCCGCACCAATTCTTAAACTTTACTAAGTACTATCAAAGTAACTTTATATGTAGTGGCATCATAAATCACATCAACAGCCTCTAATAGTCCACTGCTGGACATAGGCCTCTCCTTAGAAATGTTGTTTTGGCCTTTTTTCTTTTTGTTGAAGGGGTGGAAAACCCCATCGGATCTCCGGCTCCTTGGGGATGTAGGAGCCAGAAGTATGTGGTGTTTCCACTAAAAACCACTCCGACGGCCGGACTGAGGCGCCCTACTCCGAGGAGGACCCGGACCATGTTATTTCAGGTCTCCCCGGATCGACCTGGTGGTGCATTTCGAGCTCGACCTGGTCTTCCCCACCCTCACCCCGGCGGATCACTCAATTCTGGTTATAGACTCTCGCGTCCATATCCGCCAGGATATCGAAAGGTGGGAAACCTACCAGGACTGTCGCCGCCTCCGCCGAGATTGCGCGGTAACCTCTTACGATCCTAATGGCCGCTACCCGCTGCGCTTGATTGAGCTTAGCTCGGCAGCGGGAGGAGGCCGATAGGCGCTTGGCCCATATCGTTTAGGATATTGTCCTTCGTAGTTTGCTCCTTTAGACGGCTCATGGGTAGTCACTTACCATCAGGTGACCCGTCTGCTCGCTTGCTCTCCTATATCGCTAAAAATAACTAAACTCAAGATTATATAAATTAATATTTTAGGGTCGGTCTCTTTATTTCAAACTTTTCAATCTAAACAGTGAACGTTTTTCAATATATACTATATTGATATATAGTTTTAAGAGCTCTTTAAACTTTTCCGATTAAATGATAGTGGAGTTCAGAGTTCGAATGATATTTTGTTTATTAATGTCGATTTTTTAAACTTACCCCACTCATTAGGTAGATGTGGCTGTTTCTTCAACCAATCTTTAATGATAGCAAGATCCTTTTTTATTAAAGTCGGATCTTCTTTTAAAACCTTCTTGACTTGAGACCACTGTTGTCCTGTCGACTTGACCATTACAGAGGCTGATGCCATACTTAGTCTGAAAATTTGGAAAAAAATATTTAAAGGATTATTTTAATATGAATATGATTATTATTTAAATTAACAAAGACACCAGCGCACACACAAAGAATATGCGTTAAAATCTTGAATCAAAAATTTCTAACTAGCTTTTGCCCGCGGTAAAACCCGCGTGTATATAAGTTATTGCGTAACCTATGTCCTTCATCAAGAATCAAACTATGTCCATTCCAAATTTCATTTGAATAGGTTCAGCGGTTATTGATTCCTCATATAAACTTCCACCCCTCTTTTCACCCACTCAAAGGATGATTTCTGGGATAAAAACTATCCTATAGCCTTTCTCGGGACTCAAACTTTCGCATTTCACCATTTCGCAGACAGACACAATTTCGCATTTGCAATATTAGTATGGATTGTCTGTTTAAGATTTTTCTTTTTATACTTTAATATAACATAAACATTTGTTATAATGTTAACCGAACTACTGTTAACTGTAACAGGTATTAAGCCATAACGTACTCGTAATAAACTAGAGTTACGCATTTTTTTATGATATTTTATTTTGATATACGAGGCATGTTCTCTCGATTTTGACCCTGTTAAAGCCTTTTATCACTGAGACTGGTTTTGATTTTGCCAAAAAAATGTATTCTTTATCTATGTGTTGAATGGGTGGAAAATCCCTTCGGATCTCTGGTTCCTTGGGTACGCAGGTCTATTGATATAACATAAGTAATTATAAAATAATAATAATAATAGGCCATCTAGTTTCAAACTAAGCAGAGCTACGAATTACGAGTATAAAAAAAAAATGATTTTAATTATCCTTTTATGTACATACTTAGATATTTATTATTATCAAGAGCTTTATTATTCCATAATTAGTTAAAACAACGTTAAAAAACCGGCCATTTGCTTGGATGTTCACGGACGCTCAAATACTCGTATCGCAATAGTTTTTCAACCGTGTTATTTGTAGTGTAGAGAGATATTTCTGCAATGGATTCAAATTACATTCGTAATCAGTACCAACATTTTCGTGTATTGTAACGTTTATAATTTAAACTATACTTCTTACAAAACGTCAAAAATAGCAATTTGTATGTTTCGTAATAGGAAGAATAGTGGCAGCAAGGTCTAGTAATCTCGTCAAACGTAAACGACATTACGTGTGCAAGCAATAACCAGATCTCTTGCTGTGTGATAAGCTCTAATTTTTTTTTCGGTACAAAATAAATAATTCTTAGTATGCATTTAAAGATAACAAATATTTCTCTAGCCATTTATAATTTTTGAACATATTAATTACAGCAGTTTATTTCTTTCATTTCAATGATTGTTTGGTTTATGCGTTACAATTTTCTGTTAAATACTTAACCAGGTAAAAAACTGAAAGCGCAAGTGGCATTGCTACCGGGTATTGCAATCGGCATTGTTAGCTGCGGTCGGGGCCATTTTTATAACGGGTACAGTTAATTAATGTCGTCTTGTTAGAAGAGGAAAATGATAATTTCTAGTTATTACCTATTTTTTTGCTAAACTTTACACAAAAAAAACAAATAAAGAAACGGATATGTAAATTAACTCAGGGCTTAGAGCACAGCAAGTTCCTCTGTCCTAAACAAGTTTAATTTAATCCCAAAAACTAGATCTGAAAGTAACTATATTATAGTAAGTTTTGATAATTATGTATAAGAGTACCGTATCGTCTATCACATCCAATTTATGCCAAACGAAAATCAACAGCACAATAAAATATTTAAAAATGGCGCCAAAACATTAATGTCACATGGTATATGTGTTGACTCCACATGCTGGTATATAATGCTTATATATAAAAATTATTTATTCCAAATATGACTTGTTTCCCTGAGTCATATTTGTTTAAAAATTGATATTTCACGGAATACAAAGGAATCCTCACTTCTGAGATAAAATTCTTGTAAAAATAAAGAATTTAATGATTTATGTTAAAAAAATAAACGATAAATGATTTTGATGATTCATATTTCTAAACGTGTACACACAATAAACTATATGTACAATTGAGTGGTAATAAAAATATTTAATATCAGACATTTTATCGAAAGGCTTGATTTCATTTAGAGAAGTTTATCTATATTTTCATAAACTTTTTAAAATGTAATTTTTATTCAAATAAATCATTAAAATATGTATATTTTTTATTAATATATATTAAATTGATTTACTTATAATTGTTTAAATTGATTTACTTAAGCGTGTAGGTGTGCAATTTATTTTAAATAACATTTCAAATAATTTCATCCTTTTTTAACGGTCTTCGCATACACATATATCCTAGTATATATGACTGCTTTAAAACAACTAGTAGACCACGACTAACGTATACAAAACTCATACAGAATATATGCCTGTATACCCAAAGCGTCAATTAAATTCTCACATTTCCCATGTATATTTTGGTCCCAACCTTGTAAAAAGGGTAAACCAGTTGTTAAATGGGCTATAAAAAAAACAACTTTATTTTGTTTTATTACTTACAGTGGGTGGACGTTACTGTCCATCTCTAAAGGAAATCGCAATTTTTTTTCAAGTGCTTTTATTATTCATATGAATGACAAAGTTTCAAGGTAAATAGCGTAATCAGAACGTCAAATATTAAAAAGTTTCATTGGCTTTTGTTTTCGAGTTTTTTTGTGATCTCGGTTCGTAACCTTCCAAAAAGTTATATCAATAATTTATTTGATCTTAGTCTCAATTCAGACCGTAGTTTTATGTTAAATCAAAATTAATATTTACAGAGCGGGTTACTAAAAAGTATGGTCAGATAGGGTAAACCACTATTCGATTTGATACAGGTATTTTATATTGATTAAAAACCTCCAACTAAATTATGGTAATGATGTAAAAAAACATTTGCATAATTTAGTTGAAGGTGCATGTGTCTAAACTATTCAGTAATAGCGGAAGAAGAATTTAAATTGTCCCCTTGAGTTTTAGTGAAAAAAAAATATATTTAGAGGACGTTTTTAGAATCTACTCGTCAAGTCAGTTTTAGCGGGCGTGAGGATGTTGGTAGACTAATGTGGAAAACTTATACTACCTATCGAGATCGGCAGTATCCGTAACACAGTCAGTCAAATTTCTCGATGTCGCTTTTTCCAATTATTTATTTATTTATTTTTTGTTTATTTATTTATTTATTTATTTATTCTTTTACAATATTTACTGACTCTTGACAATTATATAGGTATGCACATTTTACATTCCAAAACATGTTCAGCTGGCACTTAAAATAGAGTATGCTATGAGCTATAAGTACCAGCAACCTTCCAGTGACACAAATATACATAATAATAGGATTGATATACGAGAATGGAATTTCGGTCCTTTCGTGATACTACTGCAGTTGCATTTCTCAACCGAGATTTGCGGCATCTAGGATACCGTATCCTCTCTCGCTCTATCCATTTTTACCACGCTCTTATTTTTTCATTTTAATCACAATTTATCCTCTTCTTTTATACGGATTGGTTTTACACTTATAAAACCGGTCAAATCTTAGTGATATCAAATTGGGAAAATGTCAAAACAATGATGAAAATTATCGTCTGTATACTGACTAAGAGACAAGTTGAAAACACACGAAATTGACATGCTAAATGGCAGGCCTATTTGGATGAGAGATAGAAGCTGTATTACTCAATTGATTACTATCTTCTGTCCCATGGAAATATTTTATTTTATTTTATTCATTTTTGCACATATAATTTTTTTTATATATAATTACAATTTTATTAATACAATGGCGGACTTTATGCCACAATGTATTTTATGCCAATCAATCTTTGGGTGGAGGGGAAATGTCTGAGTAGTTGCACTAAAAATTAAGTTTTGTGTTTTAACGAGATCATAGAAAATTAAGGATAATATTTAAAACTTTATAGTAAACTAAATATCGTATAGACGATAGAAATCAATTGAATGTAATGGCGTGTAAAATATTTTTATAGGTTATGCACTTTTAATGGTAGTACATTAAAAGATTTCCTTCTTTATTACTTTATCAAAATCACGACTAGATAACTATGTTAAAATTATATAATAATATATATAATTATATATACTTTTTATTTAATGGGCAGCCGGTTTGCTGTGTATGGCCTTGGATATTAGTACCTATACTAAACTGTGTTGGTCGTAATAAGGATATGATATATGTCGAGTTACCATATTATCAAACCATGACATAGTTTAAGGTTATATATTCAAATATATGACTTTAAACTTCACCATATATTAGTTGAAAATATTCTGTAACGTAATTGGAACATATATGGCATTTTTTTAAAAAGAGTTTTTAGTTTTTTTTTGCATAATTTTTTAATCGATCACCTGTTTTAATAAAAAAAAAAATATACATAAAGGTATTAAGGTATCTGACTTACTTATCTATTACGTTACAGGTATATAATAATATACCTTTTAATACAATAAAACATAATTACATGATTACATTACATATCTTTTAGTTTTTTCATATTGGTATATATTTTTTTGTTCAAATTATAATGCATTATAATCTTACTACCTACTACTAATAAATGCGGAAGCTTGGGTAGATGTTCAATCACAACAGAATGACTGAAAGTATCCAATTATCAGAACTATTGCACGAATCTGGATGAAATTCAGCACATAGAATATACTGTGAAATGTTTAGTAATAGAAAAATTAAAAAAAAAAAACTAGATATCACAATGGACATAACCACGGGTGAAGCCGCGGGCAAAATTATATAGGTACTATTTAACGATAACTTGTTAGGTCTAGCTGTATTTTATCTATATATGTGTGTACTAAATAAACCTGTAAATAAAATGCCTAAGTATCTTTATCAGCACTGCAGTCCGAAGGCAATCAACTTTTGATCTCATAACTGTCATGGCAAAATTTTTTACTTAATTATTTCTATTTCGTACCTTCTATTCTCGTAGTAAAATAATTAAGTAAAAATATTAAACTATTACTAAGACTAGCTAGACAAGTTACCGATTTAATTTTCGGTTACAATGCGTTATAATCACATTACAGTCAAGGTTGGCTGTTTCATATTTTACTACCAAAAGACATTTTATGACAGGTGTAAGATCGAAATTTGATCGGAACCGAATTGAGACCGAACTTTTATCACGAGAAGTAGCCTTCTGGTTACCATAGTTTGGAATCAGATAACCCTGTGTGAAATATGTCAAGTTAGTTCGTATTATGAGTTATTATTAAATCCGGAATGGACTTAGTCCGCAATTCATTGTACGATATTAATCTTCTGTTAATTGAACGTAATTGTAAAATACTATAATAGTACAGTGAGAATAAACCGTCACAAATATTTTCTGTTACTAGTTGTTCAATTACTTAGAAAAAAGCAACCATTGTTCTAATTAATAGAAGCAGTCTGATTAATATTCGCTTACATTTAAGTGCACCAACTGCATAAAACGTTAATTTATTTAAATATGATTTAAATATAGTGTAAGTAACTTACATTGAATTTAATATTTCACTTTAAATTGTGATACACAAATACGTTGACGTAACTGCCGCACGCGCGCCGCCTTACAAGGCACACACTCAAATGACAACGATACTCACTTGTAGGGCACAAATCTTCCATGTATTATAACTTGTTCAGGGACACTCACCCAACGCAATAATAATATATACTCAATAGAATTAACATATATATCAAATATATATTAATACGTTTACTAATTTAAATCAAACGCAGTAGAATCCATATTACAATAACAATGTATGTAGTTGCGTTGTATTTTAACGTTTTCGGTTTTTTTTATTTTTAATAGTTTATTTTGTTTCATTGGGGTTAATCTTTTTTTTTGTTTATACTCTGTTGTTATAATTAGTTAATATGTATTATCGTTTGTTCGTTACAATATAGTTTCGTAAAGGTCAATAGTCGTAAAAGTTAAGGGAACCATCTTATTTTGTGCTTGTGCAAATATTGTAGGAGTTTTCGTTAAGCGGGTATAGAGGAGCAGATCTTCGGCGGTGACTACATAAGCGGTTCCTCACCTAGCGTTTAACCATTAATGTAGGGGCATCCTCTTCGACGTCCATATGGTGACTGATTAAGAATACAGAGTGTCACTACCCCTATCATCCCGTGGGTGTCGTAAGAGCCGACTAAAGGAGCTACTACGCAGGACAACAGCACTGCAAAGAGAAGGAAACTTAGAAGCAAACCCTATATCATCTGGCCAACGTGTTATAGTAGGTCAAAACCTCTTAGGGGTGCGGGTCGGGAAACCTCCACGTCCGCTGTCGTGTTTCTTGTCCCTCATGACCACTGTGTGCGATGGAAACGGTAGCAGGGGTCGGTGCATACTGGGCGTAACTCGGCAGGGGGGAGGGGGGTTAATCGCTCTTGGTACTCCTCTCTCATAGAGGCTGAGGTGGGATCCGTATGGAAAACAAGGGCGGGTCGGCATACCGCTGGACTGTTTATGCGAAGCGGGAACACAATGTCAGTGACACAATCCAGCCAAGCTCAACAGAGGTTGGCACTCAAACGCTACTAAGTCTTTCTTATGTCTAAGAGACAATAGACAGACCCCGCAGCACACAGGCGGAGGTAATGAGCTAAATTCGTCGGGCCATGCAGACTCTGCGGACGGCGTTTTAAGGAGATCTGCACCAGGGCGCGAGTACGAGGAGGTGTCCGTGCAGAGGTGTCATCATCGTCGCTGGCAGACCGGGTGAGGGATTTCCAACAGGGAAAGAATTTCTTACCCGGACAATGTCAGTGGCGCCATCTTCGGCGGTGCTGCGGAGATCATCGGCCACAAAGGTAGCGGGTACTGGGGCTGACAATAGGGCCGCCGGTGCCACTGACCCACCCGGTAAAAAAAAAGTCATAACCTCGCGACGTGATTTCTAGGAAAAGATAGATGACAAAATCGTCGCCTTTTTGCGGTTGGCTACTTATGTTAGTCACATTAAAGCTCCTTTAAAATGTGACCAAAACTGACTTACCTTTATCTTGAGTTTCCTTAAAAAATCCCATTTTTTATATACTTATTTTAAGAATTTCCGTCAAATTATGTCGTAACTCTGTCTGTCTGTTATTCTAATAGTTTTGACATCACTACCTTGTGTCTATTTTTTTAATAATTGTGGTCATAAATTAAAATATTAACAAAAGTTCGATATGGTCCAGTTGTGACCATTGCATTTAAAAAATAAAACACTAAGTCAAACTTCCGTTAGAATGGATATTATACTCGTAATATACATATTTACATAAATGTTATTAGAATATAAGTTATAATTTAAAAAAAACATAAGTCCATCACGTCAATTTATAATTTTATCGATTGTTGAAACGTCAGACAACTGATAGGTATGTAGTAATATCACGCCTGGTTAGTTAAAAAGCAACGAAAGGGGCGAGGGGAGGGGTTTGAAATCACATGGTCTGGGCTCTCTCTAGGGAAAGGCGCTTGAACTCGGCCGTTGGGGTGGTTTTAGTGGAAACACCACATACTCCACGCTCTTGTGTCCCAAGGCACCGAAGGTCCGTAGATATTTTCCCCGGCCACCACAAAAAAGGTAATTATGTAATCTCTATTAAATTTATTTTTGCGTAATTTCCCTTTAATATAGTTATATTATATTCTGTTTAAAAACATTTGTTGTAAATACACAAAAAAGATGATAGGGTTAATTTTATCCACAAATGCGTTCTATTTTATAATTTGAGCCTAGGGTTTAGCCTATCAGTGTCTAAAATATTGAATCTATATAAAAAAAAAAAACATAAGACACAAGATACATTTGCAGGTCATTTTTAGAATATTTATAATTAAACTACCTTTTGCCTACAGCTCTTCCCGCATGTCGGTTATCACGGTAAAAAGTGTCCTATGTTCTTTCTCAAGAATCAAACTATCTCAATTCCAAATTTCATCTAAATCAGTTCAGCGGTTTAAGCATGAAGAGGTAACAGACAGACAGACGGACAGACACATAAGTAAAGTATCTAACCTATTCTGAGAAGAGTGGTGAATTTGAATCAACATAACTTTTGACTAAAGAGGTGTTATTATTATAAGAGATAATTTTAACTGTTTTCTTTATGTCGGGTTAGTTTCTAACCTCTACCTAATATCAAAGAGCATAAGAGGTATAAGAAATTAATTATAACTTCATCCTTGTCGTCGTCAGACGTAGTAGTCACAGATGACTGGGTGTAATTTAGTATATTTATTTATTTAGCATAGTACCTATATATCGACGTCCCCCGCGAATAATCCGGTAATGACCTATTACGGGGTTTTTCATGTTATGCGTTTTTCGGCATCTAGAAGTTAAAATACACCATGTAATTTTTTTTCAGAATTTTTCTATCTTTATTTACGAATATATGAAAAACTACGCGTATATTCCATAACAATTCATTAAAATGTATTTTAAAGGAATAATATGGTTTTAAATCTTTACGAGAAAAAATATCAATATGATTTGACAGTAAAATTACTTTACGATATTATTCGGGTAAATAGTTTTCTACCTTATTTATGTAACATTTTATTTTTATGACTGTTACTGTTTATTCGAATAGTTTACTTAAGTATTATTTGATGATTATTATAGTATATTTTATGAAATAAAGGACATTCCAGTAAATGAAACAAATTTGGTTAGTTTGACAAAACACGATAGTTATTATTATCATAAAAAATAGACACTGCACTGAAGACACGACTATTACACATGATTACACAATCATGAAAATTATAATTAGGTCCTATTACAGTTAAAAATCTTAATCAGAATCCTCATCGTGACCTGATTCAGTATCACAAAAGCTTAAATTCCTATAAAATGGTTGATAATGGTGGGGAATTGCTTGGGAGTTACACAGGCTTATTTTGAATGTACCATAGTCTGAAGTGTCAATTTGCCACTACAAACGTAAATACCCGATTTATAATTTTACAGTTTTTGACGCTCTAAACAAACTAGGGTTCTGTTACGTTTGGCAAGCTCAAATTGGAAAAAAAGGGTGCATCAAAATAGGGAGTTGCTTGTTTCAATTTGTCAAGACCGTACACGAAAAAGGTATACGCAAAATTATATTTTACTCTGATGGTTGTTATGGCCAGAATAAAAACAGATACATTTTTGCGTTGTATCTTCAAATTGAAATTACACATCGGTTTTTTGTTGGTGGGCCGTGGGAAAGAGCTCTGAAAAACAAAGTTTTGTACACACCGGACCAAGTTTATAGTATCATAATGAACGCTAAAGTCTCCGGAGACAAATATATCCTAAAAGAAATGCAACAATCTGAAATCCTCAACATAAAAGAACTTGTTGAACCCAAAAGATGGCTTTAAGATAAAACAGGAGAAAAAGTACGATGGTCCGATGTGATGGAGGTTAGTGTGTCATACAGTAAACCTAACTGTTTTCTTTCAAATATGATTTTAATCAGGACTATATTGAATTGGATTACGATGCAGGCAGAAGTAGACAGCGTCGGCAGAAACAGGTGTCCAAAACAATTGAAAGTATTGAATTAAAGCTAGCATATGACAAGCCACTCCCTGTTCAAAAAGCTTTGTATAATGATCTCCTAAGCCTGTGTAACTCCTAAGCAATTCCCCACCATTTTCAACCATTTTATAGGAATTTCAGCTTTTGTGAAACTGAATCAGGTCACGATGAGGATTCTGATTAAGATTTTTAACTGTAATAGGACCTAATTATAATTTTCATGATTGTGTAATCATGTGTAATAGTCGTGTCTTCAGTGCAGTGTCTATTTTTTATGAAAATAATAACTATCGTGTTTTCTCAAACTAACCAAAGTTGTTTCATTTACTAGAATGTCCTTTATTTCTTAAAATATACTATAATAATCATCAAATGATACTTAAGTAAACTATTCGAATAAACAGTAATAGTCATAACAATAAAATGTACGTTACTGTTAAACAATCGAATAACCTAATAATTACTTTTTACAAATGTTCAGTATACAAAACAAATTACACGAATAATAGCGCAACACGATATTACCGTTGCCTTCGGAAATATAAATTTACACGAATAATATCGCAACAAGATTTTACTGTTGCCGTAGAAAATATAAATTTACACGAACAATATCGTAAGTGACATTACTGACCAGAGCTTGACCAACACTAATATAGTAAAATGCATCCAGCTAAATTCTAACGAAGCCCTTGGGACTACTTTAATTTTGTTGAAATAACCAGATAGCTGAAAAAATTAGCTTCCATATGCGATATAAAAAGTCTCTGATACTTGTTGTTTAATAGAGTTATTAAGGAAAAATGGTTTTTTATTTTTCCTGAACATTTACACTTTTACGACAACCGGATTATTCGCGGGGGGCGTAGATTATGTATTTGGAAATATATATGTTATGTTTACCAACAGTCTGGTAACCGTAAACGAATCTAAGACTAGAATAGTAGGAGTTAGAATTGCGACCACGTCAGAAACAACTTGCTACTACAAAAGTATATAAGATTAGAACTGGGACCCCACGAGAAAACGAATTGCCATGCGACCCTAAGCGTTAGACCCTAATTTGTTTTTATGAGCGCGGCGTTGTAGTTTTATAGGAGAGTATGCATTTTTTTTGTTGCAGTTGCAGGAGAGTATGCAGTTTGTTTACGTATTAATTATTTTCTAAATTGATAATATGAGAAAATTATTATGTGAAACGAAAGTCTATAAAACTACTATCTATAAAACAATGTACAACTGTGTATTAGTGAGTGAGATTCTTATATGTAGGTACTTTATTAAACTCTGAAATCAATTTGATATTATGAAAGTATCTGAATTTTTATTTTATTTATTTATTTATCTTTATGCACTTTTGTACATCGGCGGACTTAATGCCCAGGGCATTCTCTTCCAGTCAACCTTTGGGTAATGTAGAAATCTTGTAAGGTAGGTGCACAGAGGTTACATCATAATATCAAATGTACAATGAAAATATATACGGTTCACTACTTAATATAAACATATACACACATACTACACTTACACATTATAAATACGCATAGATACTTATATATATATATATATACAAATATATTTATATAGATACATAGACATATCTTATTCGTACACTATGAAAACCCAAATATGAGGTATACTTAACTATGGATTAGACCGTTCTGCCATTTCTTAAAGAAGGAGAGCATGTACCATGAATTTCTATTGGTTAAAAATTAATTAAAATGTAGTAACTTAATCAGCTGGCAGTTGTTTTTAGTAGACGATAGTATTATGCGTTCAGTTATCATATGGATGAAATATGCAAAATCACTATCAAAAGCACATTAAAAGTGGAATTATAGTGAAAGTGGAAAATTTAATTGATTTTAGTTGGATAACAATAAAATATTTTATGCATTTTATTAATTCGTTCATTTATTTTAATCAGATAGTATAATCTATTAGTGTCAGTAATTTCTTATGCTGAATTAGTTACTTAATATGATGTCCAATTATTAAAAAAATGTACCAAATTAATTAGATTCATATTTATTTATTTTATTTGTTACTATTTCTTACACTAGTAATTATATTTGCCAACATATGTACATCATTCCAATGCCCCATTACAGAACAGTCTAGCCTTTCAAATAATGTATTTAGAAGAGTGCTGAAGCTCTGCCGTACACGGCGCATCAGTGAGGCGAATAATTGTGTAGAAACAATCAACTTTATCCTCCACAAACATTCCTGACGCGATGCACACCTAACCCGATATTCTACAGAGTCTCGGTACTCCCATGAGCATTCTGAAACTTTTGTTGTACTGGATGCGTAGAGCATTGAAAGTCTTTTTAGTGTAAGTAGTCCAAAGGCTGCCGGTATAAAGTATTTGACGGTAAGTTTAAAATATTATATCTAACCGACAAGGCTCTTCGCTCCCACTCAATATCCTCATCGTTCGATAGGTCCTCCGTCGCCCAATGGCCCAAGTGCTTAAGCTTCGTGACTCTCTTAAGCGGT